GGACTGGCAAGGACAGAACAAGCTCAGGATTTTTGCACAACATACTGTGTAGAAGTTAAAAATACCCCAATGCTGAGAGATTAATAATGTCAAATCTGTAAGCACCTATTCTGTTAAATGTTGAATTGTATATTTAAATCTCTTTGTCTTATAGACAAAAGAAGCACTTCTAAAAATCTTAGATGACATTAAAGAAGATGACTTCTTCAATTTCATATTGTTCAATTCTGGTGTGTCCACCTGGAAAGAAACATTAATCAAGGCCACTCCTGAGAATTTGGATGAAGCAAGGAAGTTTGTTCAGAACATTGATGCTTCAGGCAGTAAGTACTTTACTGGACTTGCTGATTGGTCACTGTGTAAATTAATTTATCTGTTCATTCTGTGAACACAATGCTACAGCTTGTTGGGTTTTTAGATTACTGATGAGACACTCCTGAAGTTGACTTTTACTCAGAACATGACATTTATTTTTCTCTGTGTTTCCAAAGTCCAGGTACTTCTCTATCTAAACATCCCCTTGCTTATAAACCCAAATCTTTCATTTTCATACTGTAATTAAATCTCTTCAGACCCCAGTGAAAAATGGGCCTTTCTTTTGATGATCTCTGCTGAACCCAAATTTCTATGTCTACCCCATAGTGACAAATTTACATGGTGGTTTGATGAGGGGAATTGATATTCTGAATGCTGCTCATGAAGGGAACCTTGTGCCCAAGAGAAGTGCCTCTATAATTATCATGTTAACAGATGGCCAGCCAAACGAAGGTAAGTTTCTATTGGATGGAATTATAAAGAGAGTTAATTAACTAATAAAAAATGCTAGTTAAAACTGGCCTTCACCTTTGACTTCTTGATGTTTTCATGATTTAAATGCTACTATACAGCATCATTATACTAAACCAAGTTTTTGATAATGCCTCCTAAGAAATCTGAACATGACGAGTCACATTTAATTTTGTGATCATTTTATCTATTTTTGAAGACAACTCAAACGTTTCCTGGTTTGATGCAGGTGTATCAGATATTCACACCATTGAGACAGATGTAAAAAATGCTATTAAAGGAAGATACCCCTTGTACAACCTTGGGTTTGGCTCTGGTGTAGACTATGGCTTCTTGGAGAGGATGGCACTGGAGAATAAAGGATTGGCCCGTCGGATTTATCCTGACTCTGATGCAGCTTTACAGCTTCAAGTACAGTAACTACCACTTAAATTAGATGAAAATACATTGGTTCAGATAACTATACAGTTGTTCTTTTTTTCAAGCAATCAAAACCCCAGTGTGTAATCTGATACTGGGATACTCCAGAATCTGCTGTAATCAGAATATTAGAATCATAGAATAGTTTGAGTTGGAAGGGACCTTTAGTTGCATTTGATTTTCCCCTTCCCTCATATAAACAGGAGGTGGAAGGACAGTAAAAGGGAGATACTGTGGGCTATGGCAGAGAGTTGTGGCACAGGGTGACACAAGTCATGCTTCTGAAGGGCACCTGGTGTGCAGCAAACTTGCTGCAGTCATTTCTATCCCAGACCTCACAGATCATGTGGTCAATGTCATGTCAAGGGACGAGAAGGGGAACAGATCATAAAGCTCTAGATATTCTGCCTTTAGAAACTTGCTGGAAGCAGGTGTATCCTACCTGCTTCTGAGGCATTCTAGAGTTGTGTAAGACATGAAAACAGGTATAGACCTTACGAGGTTGACCTGTTTTACTTCTCACATTCCAATAGCAGCCATTCAAAAAATTCACCAAAGAATTAGATACTGGATTTCCTTTCAAACTCTGCTTGAAATCAAATATAGTAAAAAATAGTCTGTTTTGACTGTGTTGTTACATCAGTCTCTGCTGGGAATAGATCTAGAAACTTATCTCTATCAAATACCAGGGATCCCTCTTGATTCATCATCCACAGCATGTTGTTCTCAGATTTTTTTTTCTCTCTCTAAGCGAGACTGAAGAGTTGTATGTCCTTTCTCATTTCCCTTATTTGTAGATTTTTTTTAGGCCTTGTGCTCTGAGAGTTAACCAAATATTAAAATATTTCTTATAAAATACACTTGCAGTTTTCATTGCCAAAATAGCAGGATGTTTCTGGTTACAGATCTATGAATTAAAGAAACAATGAGAGTTAAATGTTTTCCTTTTTTTTTTTTTTTTTTATGTCTTATAGGGGTTTTATGATGAGGTGTCAAATCCCATGCTCACAGATGTGGAGTTAAACTACCCAGAAAATGAAATACAAGACCTAACTATGAACAGTTTTAAGCATTTCTACGAGGGGTCTGAGATTGTGGTGGCTGGACGTTTTGTAGACAGCAACCAAAACCAATTGACTGTAGATGTGAGAGGTGAAGGTGTAAGTATGGATTTCTTTAACTTATGTAAGATACACAAAATCTCTGAATGTTCAGAGCTGGCACTACTTAAATACTTAAAATATTTATTGGTACTTCTTTACCTCAGTGACAGGATGGGTTACTGCACATGTGAGAAACTAAATGTGCCAAAGTCATTGCTTTTAAAATTGCAAATTACTTGCCTAACCCAGGTGTAATAGGGTCAGTCTGGAATAACTCTGTGCAGTGTGACTGGATTAGTTTTGCTAACAAATATATATAAATGTACTCATGTATTTATACATATCCTCATATATTTATAAATATATAAATACTGTATGTATTTAGTCTCTAAATACCCTACCTGGTTCTTTTGGGAGCCAAATTTTCAGTGTTCACAGGCACTTCAGTGGATGAAGAAAACCAATGAATAAGCCAGCTGAATATTTGAAATATCTTCCCCTTAAAATAGAACTCTACTTTTAATACCTCTCCACATCTGGATTCAGTAAAAACATTTACCCCTGATATTCAAGAAACAGAACACAAACATATTCTAGACCATGTTATCATAAATCATGGATTGCAAATATGCCCCATGGACCATGGACTTTGGTGTACTTTAAATACAAATAATGTATTACTGTGAACTTAATTCCAGCATGTCTGCTTGAGCATGTTCCTCTCTGAAATCAGGATCACAATCAAAGTTCTTTAAATCCTGGATAGCCAAATTCTGATGAACAAAAATGCCATGTGAATTTGCAAACTGTGTTGTGTCCTGTAGTGTACACCTCTGACCTTCACAGAAACAATGGGTCAAAATTCCTGATACAACCCTGGCAATCTCCTGGGCAAGTGCTGGAGGGAACCAGACTGTTTTTCAGTTTGATAAGGTTTTCAGGTGTGAAGGTCTCAACTTTTGGGAGGTTCTGGCAGTCCTTGGCTACTTATGATACAGAGAAGCTTCCTTACTCCCAACAGGCTGATGATGCCCTGTCATACACTACACAACAAGATGCTGAGCAAACAGCTCAAGCTTTCCAAGAACAAGAATATATATTTGGAGAGTACATTGAAAGGCTCTGGGCTTATCTTACCATTGAACAACTCCTGGAAAGACGGTAATTATATCTAGAATGACATCTTAGCTATGAACTCCTTAAGCCCTCTGACTCCTGCAGCTTCTAGGACAAAAATCAGTGAGGAAAATCCCCCTACCTGTTCTCCTCCCTAGCCTCAGTATTCCTGTTTCAGGTTGCAAATGAAACAATTTTAAATTATTGCAAGTATAAAGCACGGTTTTGCCTTTTTCTTGGGTAGCCAGGGGAATCAGAAGTGCTTTTAGAGTGTAAAAAATATGTCTTATTGATACATTAGCTGCAGAGAAATGACTTCACTTTAAAGTAAAATATTGACTTTGGTGAGTAATTGATGCTGAGAGTCTCTGCCTGTATTCAGTATTGCAGCTACAGGAGAAGAAAAGGAAAACCTTACAGCTGAAGCCCTGGCTCTCTCCCTGAAGTACAAGTTTGTAACACCACTGACATCCATGGTGGTAACAAAACCAGAAGAAAATGACAGTGAAGATGTGATTGCTGATAAACCCACTGAAGGTACAGACACGTTCACATTTTTACTGCATTTGAGAAACCAAGTGTTCATCTGACATTCTCCTAAAGAAAGGCTTTTATTTGGGTACAGTTTTAAACTTGTATCTGAAAAATAATATACTTTCCAAGCCTGGCACATGTGTTAATGCAAAAATTACTTTTCATTGTAAATCTCACTTCCATCAAACCATCCTTTGTTACTAAATTGTACAGGCAAAGTACTATAAATTTAAAATAAGTGTATTTTAAACTAAATACATGAACTATTACAGAAAAAAAAACTAAACCAAGAAGCATTTCTAATCTAGTAGTCCAGCTATATTAAAATGAGTTCACATCACTTTCTCCTTTATTTTTCCACATACTTCAGCCTAAGGGTAGATGTAGTAACCTCTTTCTGCACGAAAAGGGGAAATTTGCATGAGCTCTTCCTCATGCAGGATGCATCAAGTTGTAAAAGTATTTGAGATGACATATGTAAACCACAGCATTCATATATATTGCAGAAAGGGAAGCAATTATATTGAAAGTAGACAGTTTGTTTTCAACTCCTCTGATACTTTGGCTAGTGATGAACTCTATTCTTAGTAAAACAGTTCAGCCTCTCTGTCCAACATCTGTGTAACAAACACTCTGTTCCCCCCATCAAAGCAAGGCAGTGCTGTTTGCTCAGAGTGCCCCAAAGCCACCCAAACTTCATCTCTGTATATTGTTCCACCCACCCTGGTTCTACAGGTCTAACAGAGGCTTTTCAGTCTCTTCTGTCAGCACCCAGTATTTTTTTTTCCCAAAAAGTTTTACCTAGAGCCCTTTAAAGTTCTTGCAGGCTCTGTGTGGGCTCTCTGCTGTCTTCTACATTAAAAACTTCCTAATCTTTTGAATTCAGCATGAAAACTTAAGGCATTTTAGCATAACAGAGATACTTACAGGGGATTAGTGGGTTTTTCTTTCAGCTGGAATAAATCCTGAAGCCAATGAATTGCTGAGTGTCTTTCAACTGTGAATAATTCTTCAGGCATTCTGCTGATAAGTTTTTGCATTATTTTTCATAACCCTCATAATGGAATACTGACACAACCCTTCATGTTTAATTTAACAGTCAAGTCACTGTACAACATAGTGACTTTAAAGTTTGCACCTGGCCTCCATAAGATGGAAAACCCCAAACATCTGACAGAAGAGACATCCACTCACTCATCTTCATCTCTTTGCTTGTGGTACCTGGCTCCTCTTTGAACCTCTTTCCCAGGAAATTCTCTCTGTACATAGAAAATATAGAGCAGAAATAGCAGAAAATACTCAAAGGACTGCTTCTGTATAAGAAAAGAAAATAAAATAATTGTACACACCCTGAAGTCTAGATTCTCAAATCAGATTAGTGAATGATCCAGTCAGTATTAATAGAATTATTCAAATGCCTCAAAAACTGCAAAAGAGTAAACCCAATAAGGAACATTTTGCAGTATAAGTGTGGCATAACAATAAAACAATTACAAATATAGCCCTTGTCCCATGCATAATAAATTGCAGTTTTGCTGCCCCACATAAAAGCTTTTTACTTTTAGTGTGTTTCTGTTTGATCTACAAATATTGAGTTGTATCACTGGGAAGAAATGGAATTGTAAAATACTGAACATACCTGACTGAGTTTTCAAACAGTTTTAAATTTTTTTTTTCTTAGAATATGTTTTAGCAGGGTCAGAATCCCACCTGTTTAATTATACAACTGAAATTGTAAATTTCTCTTTTTCTTCCTTTTACTCCTTGCCTGCCCATGGTAACAGCTGAAGGTATGTACATTTCTTATTAAATTTATGTCATATTTGTAACTGTTAGAGATGGATTTCCCACATTGGTTATTTGATCTGGGATGCAATATTTTCATAAAATTCTTAGTGAATAAATCAAGATAGTGTTATAAATACATTTAAAACTTTTCAGGTGGATAAATTTGTAGTGTTTTCAGTGTGGTTCCTCCTGTCTCTGATGATTCCAGCATCCCACCACCACAGAATTCAGGCCCAGTACAAATAAGCTGCTCTGCAGGGCTGGCACTGGGGGCTCCCAGGTACCTGTGTGAGGCAATCCCACACAAATATGTCTTTGTTCATGCTGTGATTGCCACTCCTTCACAACAAAGCCGTGTCTTCAGACACCCTGACATAGTTTCAGGTGTAAAAAGAGCAGAAGACTAGAAAAATATGGAAGCAGGTGGGAAAATCTTACTGACTTCCCTTCTGAGGAAGTACAGCCTAGAGCAAAGTGGCACAGAGCAATCAGAGAAGAGCAGGCTGTCCCAGTCCCATCCAGAGCCAACCCCAGGCCTGTGGAGAAGGAACATTCTTGCTGAAAAGGAGGGTGTGCTTTCAGCCCTTTCATGACACTGCTTTGTAGCAGTATCAAATAAAGTTTTTCCTTTGTAATAATTTGGAAATTTATACATAATTACAAGATTTTTTTGAGTTGGTTTTGGTGGAAGGAAGCAAGAAAAATTGGTTTTTGTTCTTTGTAGCCTCTAAAATAACATTTTGTTTCCTTCACAGCACTGACTTCTGTATCTTCTATGCTTGGTAAGTCATTAAGTTTCTGAATGGAGCAGGATCTGTCAACTGAAGTTACCAGAGAGCTGGAGACTGCCATGTCTGGGTTTACAACTGTACTTTAACAAATACTGCCAAATTCTGCTCCCTGCTAAAAACACACTTAAAGGTTGAACAATATGAGGTGAAAAAGTTTCAGCTAAATAGTTTTTGAGGAGTAAATGCCAATTCATCCATCCACCATTTTTTCCTGAAAGGTGTTTCCCAAAAACAGAGGATGGACTTCAATTTGCATCTCCATGATATAAAACAAGGGCCTCTGATGTCCAACATCCTGGTTAAATTAATATCTTCAGTTACTTGTGCAAAAAGCAACTGTTTTAATTCAAGAGGGAGAAGCAGCAACTGACCCATCAAATAGCTGGCTGGGAAATCCCGGGAATGGGAGAGTTAGATTCACCTTTTCACTCTGGGGATTAGTCTCAGTCTCTCTGTCTCTGTCCAGTTTTCTCAAGTTTTTGTTGAGACTCTTAAATTCATTCTGGAAAAACAAATGTCAAAATGTCACAAGTTTTGAATGGATGATGTTGCATTGCCTTGCTGATAGTTTGATCCTAAAGCCTGAGGTATTTGTGTCCTGCAGATACATTACCTGGGCTCTGTGGAGACCCTCAGAGCAATGTAGGCAAGTGAAATCTGTCTCTATTGTGAAGCTTTTTTTGATTCAAGAGCAGCACAAACTGTCATCCCATGGACTATATGCTTTAAAAACCAGGATGGAACTAGTGATTTACCCAGCATATTAACCTCCTGACATCTTACTTGTACCATGCAGGGAGGATGTACATTTTCCATTTTGATGTGTTTTCCTAACAAGTTTTTTTCCTTCTGCAGGTTCACAAATGTATCGAGGATCACAGCCCACATGGTACACCAGTGGTGAGTGGTTTGAGTGCTGCCTGTTTAGGAGGAGAACAGAAGAGGGTTTTTAAGGCTAAATTACACAATTCTTATGAGTCTTTTTGATAATTCCCTTCCATAAAAGCTGCCATTTTTCAGTTTCAAGGGGCTAATATTTTAGTTTACTTTAAACATCTCTCAGTGTCTTTTAAAGATCAAGTAATTGAAATTATTTGTGGTGTTTTTCTCAGCCCTCCTTTCCATCAATGGGCTTTGTGTTGGTACCTGCCTGTTCTCTATTCAGGTCCCTTCCTGCTCTCAGTAACACTTTCATGCAGCTTGTGAAGGGCCCAGTTCCACTGGCACAGTATTAACTGCTCATGTGGAGCTTTGCCCCATGTGTCACTGTCCAAACACCAGTGATTTGCCTTTGCAGTTGATGGGGACCCACACTTCGTGATATGGGTGCCACAAAAAAGAGATGCCATCTGTTTCAATATCAATGAAAACCCGGGTACTGTCTTAAATTTGATAAATGATCCAGTTACAGGTGAGTTTTAATTTATTTTTTTTAAATAATCAGTAAATCATGATATTTCTAACAAAAAGTCCTGTGCATAAAGGCTGTTTCTTTGTTTATAATGCATAAGCTTTTTTTCCCTGCAAGGTTAATAGGAGGTCCTATAGTTATGATAGAGTACCATTACTATGACTGTTTTCACTTCTTGGAGCAAAATGAACTTTTAAACTTTGTTTAAAAACCACTGTGAGGGTTAAGAGTAGTAATTTGTCTCAGTGAGTTTTAGTACAAACAATAAAATAATCCTTAAGTTGCCAGTTCATGGAATATCTGGTAAAGAGAGACTAATGTCACACAGGCCATCCGTGCCCATCACAAACTCTTTGTGTTCTAGGAAATATTGAACTTTTGTCAAGAAAATGATTGTTGGCTTTGTGGAAATTCACTGAACAGCCCCCAGGCCTTTATTTTACTTTGGCACAAATATGCACAAGTAATTCTGATATATTTTTCAACTCATACCTAATTCCTTTGGTTTTGTTAAATATTCAAGACATCCTTGGCATCAGTTAATCAAGTCCTGTCTATAAAACAATTCTTGTTTCCTTTCTGTATTAGGCATCAGAGTCAATGGAGAACTCATTGGTGATAAGAGAGCAAATAGCAATGCAAAGATCCAAAATTCGTATTTTGGAAAACTTGGTATTGCAAATAAGCACCTGGATTTAAAAGTGACTGTAACTCCTGAGAAGATCACAGTTCAGAATGGCAATGAAAAAATGGGTTTCACCTGGCTTGACTCAGTCACCTTGCAACAAGCAGGGTAAGGCTTAAAGAGAGGCCATCAGGCTCTTGCATTACTTTCTACACTTCTTTAAACATTGATCAATAATACACTTTTAAGATTTGTTGTCTGAATCTACAAAAGGAATTGATTCAAGCCCTGCTGGACTCTGCTCTCTATTTTGTTGTGTAACTGCTGAATTATTCACAAATTCCTCTGCTTGGAATAAGTAAGTGAAAATTTTTCCCTGATAGTCTATTACCATGACTAAACAAAGGTAGATTTGGTCTCGTGCTTAATGCAGCAGTGTCTTGCAAATGCTTGAAGATTAACTTCAGACACAGTGTGTAATCCTTCAAAGGCATAATAATGCACCACAAACAATCTCCAGTTTAAGAAATGGAAATTGTGGCATTTACAGAATAGGTACATTTTGCCCTGTCAGCAGGTCTATTTTTCATGGGATCTCTCTATTACAGAATCATTTATACCTGTGCAAAAGGAAGTTCAGAAAAGGAATGGGCAACATCTCCTCCTCCTGCCTCCTCAAGGCCTGGCACTGCAGCAGAGAGCAAAACTTATTCACACAGCATGCCTTTTTGTTTGGTTTTTTTTTAATTATGCTAGAACATGGATGATGCCAGTAATACAATCAGAAGCAAACCTTCTTTATCCTAGCACTAACCTAGGCAGTTTGGGAGTTGAGTTCTCTGAAAAACAAAAGGAAAAAGTGTAATGTAGCATCCAGCCAAGGAAGCAATGGTTTTATCAATAGAATTTGTATTACTGAGCATGAAGTGCTGTATCTACATATCACTGACCTATCTCTGATTAATTGCACTGTTAAAGGACAAGTTTTGGTAAAACCATCTTACTGAAAAGTTTAAAGGCCAGGTAGCCTTTTCCAGTGTCATTTAATATGATTCTGTGACTGTCTGTGAACACACACACAGAGACTCCCATGGACCAAACTAGGCAACAAACCCTCTCTTTTAGAAAACAGCCAGCACTTTATAAGGCCATGTTTATGTCTTGGACAGGTTTCTTCTTCTCACATTTCTTCTCCTTGCTGTTAACTCTGGGAAGCACAATGTCCTAATTCATGTTTTGTTGGGTTTTTTTTTTTCCCTCAGTTTAACTTTAATAATTAATAGGAAAAAAAATCTGGTGCTCTCAATGGGCAGTGGTGCCTCATTTGTTGTTGTTTTGCACCAAGTATGGAAGAAACATCCTCTCCACCAAGATTTCCTAGGACTGTATACATTGGAAGAGGATAAACTGTCTGAACAGACCCATGGATTATTAGGTATGACTTCTTTTAGTGTTTCCATGCTGGTCCTTCCTTTTGAGGCTGCATAATTTGTAGACACAAGCTTGTACTTAACCTTTCTGAACTGAGAATGGAGGAAACTGAGATGACATTGATTGACAGTATTAAGATTTGTGACAAAATATTCTGGGCTCAGACTCTGTGAATTATCTTTTCACAAATTTCTCTGCTTCTGCTGCTGAAATCACTGGTGCTCATTGTCCTCACTGGCATCTTTAAACCTCTTTATCTTGCTGAGTCCCACCTACAGATTTTTTTTTTCTTACTACACTATTCCTCCAGTCTCTTGGATGGTTTAACCTCTCCTTTCATCTTATCACCCTTTGCCTAAACACAGGCACTCTGAAAAAATACTTGTTTGCCTGATCAAAATTTGCCAAGCCTCAGTTAGTGGATCCTTGTAAGAAAAGAAATTGTTAAGGTATAACTTGATTAAGGTATATCTTGGTTTATTAGCATATATTAAACCCACAGTATGCCTTTGTATCATCCAGGGTTTTCCTCATGTTAGCCAACATTCTTTGTTTTAGTAGAAAGTGAAGTTGATAATTCAGGGATCAAAAGTTTGATCCCATTTTCTGCCAGTGCAGTGGGTTTGGTGGTGGGCATTCTCTGCTGCAAAAAACACAGAGAGCAGACATTTGCCTTCCAGTTTTCACTTACAAAATCTGATGAGGGCAGCAAACATTCCTTTTGGGTCAATAAGTTTACTCAGTGTGGAAAACAATGAACTGCACCAGCCCAGAAAGGACAAAAGTGTGCAAAAGCTAATCCTGGCAGGAGCACAAAAACTCCTTAGCTGTCAGCCTTGTACTGAGCACAGTCACATCCAGAGGTTTCAGAGATCAACACACACATTATTTGATTCAAAAATAAGCTAAAAACTTGGGGACTATATAATAAATACAGTTGACTAGACAAGACACCAAGTGAGGATATCTTGAAAGATATACAGAAAAGGCTAATTGTATTGTGCACTCAGAAGCTGGAACTTACATCCAGATGATATGGATGCAATTCTGGATTGTAGATAGAAAATAATCCCATGTTCATATCATAGAAAATCATATTCATAGAAAATAATCATGTTCAACCTTACATGAGACCTGGTGTTTGCTTATCCATTCAAACCCCTGAAGGGACATGGAAACCAGCATGGGGATGTAGAAATTCTGGAATTTCTGTTTGGTTGCTGTTTTAATGTGTGCAACATGCCTGAAATGTTAATTTTGGCTTCTATTTTTAGGACAATTTTTCCGCCCCATTGACTTCACCATACTTGAAATTCATCCTGGGTCTGATCCCAAGAAACCAGATGCCACAATGGTTGTTAAAAACAATGAACTGATGGTAACGAGGTACATAATAATTAAGTCCTTAGCAAAGACTTAGGCAAGATTGCCTTGTCCAAGTGCAGTTCCTACCTTGGTACTGCCATGGCTGTGTTTCCCTTTCAGGGGCTGGCAGAAGGATTACAGAAGAGATCCCAACCACGGTATTGATATTCCTTGCTGGTTTGTCCATGACAACGGAGCTGGGCTCATAGATGGGGTTCACACAGACTATATTGTTTCCAGTCTGTTTTAAGCGACTACAACTTCCTCCAAATTCGTGGGTAGACGGATGATTTGTCTGAAAGAACAGTATTTTTTAATGTTTAAGAACTATTAAAAATCTGTAAGCATACCATGTTTGGCAAGGACGAGGTATGTTGGATTCTCATAAAGTTTTGCTGTGGATTTGATGGAATCTGAAGTGCAGGGCAGCTGTTCCCCTTGTGTGCACAGATATCCCTCCTCCTCTGGAACGTCCTCTTTATTACTTCAAAATTCTGACTTTGAACGTTACTTTGTAAAACATAACAGAAACCTTCTATCCAATATTAAATCAGTAACGGAGTGACTTAAATAAAGCCTCAGCACTCAGTGCCTGGTCCTGTTATTCCAGCAGCTATGGATGTTTTCACTCCGGTTTCACAAAGCCCAGGGCGCCAGATGCATTTCGCGACTGAGCACAAGAGGGCAGCTGACAGCCCAGCCCAGATTTTGGGATAATTCCACGGCGCTTGGAACCTCCCGACCACTTGACTGTGCAGCGCTGAGGGCTGGTGCCAGCACACAGGATGATTGTTGGCATCCAGGACTGCTGGGTATTTTAGTACTTTAATTTGAACCTAACTTTTGAATGCCCAAATCTTTATAAATTCATGAAATACCACAGTTGCAAGCACCACTCACATTTAAGTAATAATAGCTCTTTTGGACTTTGTCTTTTTTGTGTAGAACCCCTCCCTCTGTTCCCATAACAGAATTTATGAACAGGGCAAGAAGTGTCCCATTTATTTATATATTCATTTTGTACTAGAAGAAATTGTAAGGTATTACTTCTAAAGAAAAAGAAAAGCCTATTTCTTATTTACTTCAAGATTTCCTTTAATCAAATCAGCTGCACCAAGGCAATTGTGGTCTCACATGGCAAAGCAGAAAATTCCACTATTGCTGTACAACAAGGAGAGAAAGTCAGTGTGTGGAAAACTGGAATGAAGACACACCTGAGGAAAGAGGAGTGTAGTGGGAAAAGCAGAGATGGCATGAGATGTGATGGGTTAAATTGAAAGAACAAAGGTAGAGGTGAACAAAAATTCAACAAAAGAATCAAAGAGGAAAAAAAATAGAGAAAAATTATACTTACTGTTAAATTTATGGGAGATACAGGCCTTTTCCAGGAGCAAAATCTTTACTGACAGCAAAAGTTTTGTAGATGAAAAAAAATTGGGAAGAGGAGAGGGTGTCACAGTGGCTACATATCTCTGCCTGCTAAATTCAGACAAAAATGATGAAAGAAAACAGTAGTTTCTACAGATGGTTATAAATTACTGAAAAACAGGGAAGGCAGGGAGAATAACAGGAAGGAGTGAGAGACCAGAACATTGGAACTAGTAAGGTTAAGTTTACATGGTTCTAAACTTTTCTTCTAAGATTTTTATTCTGAGATAATTAATTAGATGGAATCAGGGCTGGTCCTGTACTCACCCCATTAACACAATAAACCAGAGCAGGGCACAGCAGACCTTCACCTGCCTGTCTGGCACAGTTTGGGCACAAGGCAGTGCTGGGCACTGAGCTTTCTTATTTGATTAATGGGGATGAGGCAAATCCCTGGAGGTGGCAGGAGCCTTGTCAGCTGTGACAGAACTGTGAGCCAGGAGTTGAACTGAGGGGTTCTGGTCTGCTTCTGCATGGCTCCTGTTCAATATGCACTCCAAGGTTCCTGCAGGGTAGGAGATAACAGCAAATGGACCTAGAGGTCACAAGGAGGGCAATAGCAGAGAGAAACAGCAGAGAGGTGCTTTCAGTTAAATAAAACATTTACTCCTACTGCCAACAGGGACAATGCTGGTTGAAAGAGAAGTGTGAGAGAGATCTACTGTGAGATGTGGACATATCTGTTATTTTGCATTGGAATTAGAAATTACAGAATGCAAAATATTTATTATTGTGTCTGCCTTCAACTCCTTGAGCAAGGGAAGGGAGTGTAGAAAATCAGAACTCACTCTGGGCCTCAGAAAGGGCAGGAGGAGAGTGAGTAAACATCAAATTAAAACACAATTCAAGTGAAGAAGAGTGGAATGGCACATCCTTATGGAATGGACAGCATACCTGGAGGGGGGATGCCGCACTTACAGGAATCTGGGAGCTGCAGTAGCCAGGCATAGCAGCGACATCGGGCTGCTGCAGGAAACACAGACATCCCTGAGGGAACAGCCGCGAGCGCCTCTTGGAGACACGAGAGGCTCCTGAGCGGCGCCTGAGGCAGGCAGACAAATCGGATCCAGGGGACAGGGACAGCTCCGCTGGGAAGCTGTGGAAAGAGGGGGAAAAGACCCCCAACTACGCAAAGAGTTTTTATGAGGAAGGCTGGCAGCTGGTTCTCTTCCCATCCGTCCGGGTTAGCGGGATGGGCTTCTCTGCAGCCGAGGAGAGCTGCCCGAGCAGGGCGGGGGCTGCCCGGGGAAGGGCGGCACTGCGGGCTCGGGGCCGCTCTCGGGAACGGCCGCACACGCTGGAGCCTCACCTGAGCAGAGGTGCGCGGTGAAAGCTGCCCCAGCCGTGCCCCGCTGCTCCCCATCAGGGCTGTTTGTATCCCTGCAGGTGGCAGGCAGGGCAGGAGAGGGCACGTGGACACCCTGCAACCGAAAGCAGGGATTTTTAAGTTGTAGCAAGTCCGCTGATAGAACCCGGGATCCACAGCACCTGATTCAAATCCCAAATTCGTTTATAATGCAATCTTCTGCCTTGCAAATTGGGTAAGCCTGGTTTTGATGCAAGTGAGCAATCTGGCGTTCCCAGTTTCCAAATTCCACATTGTTTGTCATGTAATTTGTCCAGCAAAATCGCCACCTGCAAATCTGCATTTTGAAAGTCCAAGAAATTCACACAAACATATCTTGGCATCATGTCTGCATGGTTCTTCCATAAAAACAGGCTTCTAATTATGTAGTTTGTTTATTGACTTTGGCAAGAAATTACTTCTCTTTTAGTACTTTGCTCTAAAATAATAAGGTTTTTCCAGTTATTGGCAGGATAGAAAGCAACTTCTGCTAAACTGCTGGCATATTTATGGGTTCAGAGATACACAGGAACAAAAATTCTAAAACACAAAATAATTTTAGAATTAAAAGCTATGAACAAGCTGAAGACTGAAAGTACAACTTGGATTCCACGGGCAGAAGCTTCTGTGTGGGTGTTTACTCTGCAGTGTTACCTCCGTGCGTGGCAAGTTGGGGTTGAGTTATTCATTATTTGTGAAACATCTTCCAATGTTTGAAAAATGCTGTATGAAATGGTGCCAAAAATGGCTGCTAACTTTTGGGGCCAAGATTCTGTCTTTTGCAACCAGTCAGAGGTCTTTTTTGCAACCAGTGAACGACTGTTTTGCAGATGTTTTTAAAAGGGAACCTCAGAGACTTTGCAGCAGTGAATGGGACTGCAGCCAGTGCAGGTTTGTGGTCTCCAAATGATCCTATTTACTGCTGATCTCATCAGATTTGAACTGTCTTACAGAATGACCTCCAAGAGAATCTTCATGCAGCAATAAAATAAAAAATGAGAGACATGATAAACAAATACTGCCTTAAATTTCTTGCTCTTTTCACAAAACATGTGGTTCAGGAACACCATCACTTGCACCTGGACAGAGGGTGCACATTTTAGAAATCTGTCCATGTTTGCATGACTCATTTGTTGGCTTGGATGATGTTGCCACTGATTTTTATTTGGAAACCTAAGTCCATGTGTCCACATCAAACTGTGAGCTGATAATGTTGATTTTATTTAGTGCATTCACAGAAATCTTCAACAACAATGGATTAGAAACCATTTTCAAACAGAAAACAAGCAGGCACAGTCTTATCTTGCCAGTAAAATTGTTTCAAGGTAAAATATTTGTGTTATATATTTTACTATGTATATGGTAACAATAAGGCTTTAACTGAGTGGTTTTCTTTATGAAAGTATCAAAAATACATGGAAGAGCATCATCTGCATAGTTTTCTTTCCCAGAAAATTTTTTCCTAGGGAGTTAGATCTATTGACCAGCAGGAAACGGGCCCACGGGCTGACTCAAGCCTGTAATCTTTCTTGTACATCCTGAAACAAAATCAAAACAAGAAGAACTGTGATAACAGACTCAAAGGGCAGGCCCAGAATTGCCCTGACGTGTGCAGATGGCACCAGGAGTCAGAGCTGCACCCAGGATATGATTATTCCCCCCATGAAACAGGAGCCTTGGGCCCTGTAGCATCACTTAACAAGCAACAAATTCAGGCTGTTAAGGAAAAATTCAAGGGCAAGTTATTTACACCAAAGAGGTGTGTTCATACAGACACACACTCCCCCAGTTTCATTTCTTTTGATCTCCTGTGTTTCCTGACAAAACATATCTCAAAGCACACACCCCCCCCCCACGTGTGTTACCTGGAAACTTTGTGCTCAGATCCAGACACCATTAGGAGTCTTTCATCAGCTCTCTGGTTGCTGTTGGAGTTATCCCTAAATTGTGCTTTTGAATAAAATTGACCTAAGCAGCAACAGACACACAAATTATTTAAAAACACAACATTACTGGTCATTCAACCCAAATGGCAGCTCTAACTCCAGGAAAGCAGCTCTTCATCTCAGAAAACAAACAAATGAAAGCTCCCTTAGCAAGTTAAGAAGATTCCTGTGTTTCAGCCATGATCTCCTGTTATCCCTAACGCTCTCCACAGGGAGGCTCAGCCTTGCTCTGATGGGTTTTCACAATTATTTTTTTGTGGTTTTGGGAGATGCAACCTCTCCATTTCCAAAGTTTCTGAAACAACTTCAGCTTTAGTCCCATCAGGATTTTTGGAGCCGAGACATTCAGGATCAGCTGGTTTCCATTTTCTAACCATGATTGTTTGCAATTTTACATCTGTTATTTGTGCTCTGTTACTTGACATCAAATGAATTTGCTGCATAAATCATTGTCATTCCACAGCACTGGTGAGGTTAAGCCCAACTATTACTTAAGTCTTATTTTAACAACTCCTAAACCCATAATGGGCTCTTTAGGGTTGTGCCACTGGTGAGTAGAAAAGCACTGTGTTGTGTTTGCAGGGTCAGGCCTCCCCTCCTCGCAGAGCAGGGTCTGCATTGCTGGACAGTGAAAGTTACATGTCCAAAAAGAATAAATTAAATGTGAAGTTTCTCAAGAACACCCTGAAACAAACCCCCCACTATATTCTCATTTCAGGAGCTTAGTTACAAGACCATCCTTCTGTACCCCATACATCTGTAACAACACATACCCAGAGCTCCACTGACTTTGTCAGAAAAATGGTTGGTGTCCAAGAAATACAGCCCAAGGAAAACATCTGGGAACTTGACAAGGGAAATTTTCACTGTGACTGTGTCAGGCAGTGATGCTGTAAAGCTTCTTTCCTTTTCAACCGAGACTCTAAGACTGGGAAGTAAATTGTGACAGTATTTCAAATAAGAACATGAAGAAAGAATATGTATTTAACTAACTGATATTAATTAATCAAAATAATTTAAGGTTTGCCTTTTGTCTCTTTGCAATTGCATTTTTCATGATCTGTTGGTGGCTATTTTTAAGCTAGGAAACACTGAGTAGTGTATCTTTTCTTTCTGTGCTGCACAACAGGTCTTGCAAACACACCAGCAGTGAAGAACCTTTTGCTGATGAATACAGCTTATTATCCATAATGACATGAAACGCTTGGATGGGGGGGGGAAAAAAAGAATATTTTCTCATCATTTTAATGAGGAAAAAAGGTAGACTAGATAAAATAATTCAGGCTAATTAATGAGCAAATCAAATACTTTTTGCTTGGCTATTCCACAAGTTTTTTCAGCCCTTGCCTTTCTTCTGACCCATTGATGTTATTGTGACCCCAGGTGGGCTTGCAGAACACAACTGTCACTGTCACTTGGGGCCCCCAAGTGCTGCTGTTCACAGTGCTGTGGGTGCCAGGGCTCGGCTGCTGGTTTGAAGCAGGAGGATCATTCTGCTTGGCAGACAAATTACACAGGGGTGTAAATCCAGCATGTTCTTGGCTCTGTTTGGACTACAAAAGTAATTGAAAGCAGTTGTTGTAGGACTTGTTATTGTCTAGCACTGCCTGTAAGGGAGGAGCACTCTGTGTCCTGTCTGCCCCAGGCCAGCCATGGATTCTTGGGGGTATTTATTCCAGCAATATAAAAAAGCTGGTGGAATCAGCTACACTCAGCTCTTCCTTGTGGTAGCAAAGGATCCTGCTCTAATTAGTCTGACAGATAAAGTCTACTTTTAAAGTGCCCCTTTTCCAACAGCAGGCATTTAGGTACAGACAGCTATTCCAACACTTTATGCCTTCCCATAAAAAAGTGTCGGCCACCCAGATGGGAGTTATTGCTAAAACTGAGGAGAAAGAGAACTCCAGCCTGTGTGGAGCCAACTGCTGCATAAAAGGGACAGTAAATGTCAAAGCCATCACTTCGCAGTGCTCGCTCTGCTGCTGGAGGGACACAAAGTACCTCGTGGTGGCACCAGGGCTGCCACACATCGCTGGGGGTCCTTTCCTTTGGGAGATACAGGCATGTTCTGCCCCTGATGTTGAAGCAGAAAAGCAGGCTGGTGGTGCAGTTGTTTTGTTTCTCTTCACACAGGCATGGAGAATTAAAATCATACCTATTTTGTTCTCCATATTTGAAATGGGGTATTATGAATGTACCCTGCTGCTGCTCACACTGAAATACTCACTGGATAAGAACATTTGGAAGCACTCACTTCAGGTAAATGGCAAAGTGGAGGCCTGAATGAACAAAACTCTGACACATTTTCAAGCTTAGGAAAGAACAGAGTGACGTTTCTTACCCCTGGATGGTGGAGGTGGCTGACTCTGTCCACGGCAGCCGAGTGTTCTCATTATTGTGGCTGACAACGATCCCATCGGTGGAGACGTGGATTTGCACGGGGGGATTCACATAGTTAATTCTAAACTCCACAAACTGATTTGTTCCATCTCCAAGTTTCCCCATCACAGTGAGTCCTTTAATACCATTAATACAGATTTTTCAGGTGACTGTGCTTTTAAGGTGCAAGTGATCTTAATGAAACTGCTGCAGTTTTGTTGCTGAAACCACTTCAGCGTCTCAAATCTACTTTTGTGAGGCACAGTACCCATGGATTTCATACCCCAAGGTTGGTAGGATCATCAAAGCCTGTTTAACCCTGTGTTACCACCTCCTACATGGAGGTGTCTGTTCCATTATCAGAATAGGTGCCTGGGGCTGTGGCTCCTCTGAGTACAGAACCACAGAAAAACTGCCAGAGCACCTTTCTGTCACCACACAGGGTTGGGGTTTGGTCCTCCAAAGCCTCCAAGGACTGGGCAGCAGAAATCTCTAAAGACCATAGATGTGACACCAGGAGGAGGTGACCCACAACCAGACCTGTGAGAAGTGCCCTCAGCTGTTGCAACATTAATATTGCCTAATAGAAAGGCAAAAATTAACCACAGCCCCTCTGGTCAGTGCAAGGCACCAGGTATGATATGGTCCTTCATGAAACGGGGTTATTTCCAAAGGCACCAACTGCTCTCACAGACCAAGTGACTCTCCTTGTCCTTGGTGTTGGGGGTAACCTGGCTCACTCACCTTGCTCTGGATCTGACAGCAGGTGGACAGAGGGTTGCAGTTTTCCATCAATATTTAAACAGATTGTTTCACTTGGTTTGGCTAATTCCAGAAGAAATTGTGGATGTTCTTCGACTGAAAAGACAGAAGAACAGTATCAGCATACAACAAAAAATCTAGCCTGTGCCCTTTGGATAGGCACAGCAAAAATACTTAATAAATTTATACCTAAGATATTAGTTATGCCTTTTAGAATAGATTATTAAAACCACAATAATAATTATTGGAAACCACATCCAGACACAGCACCTTGAAATGAATGAAATCAATAGATTTTTAAATTTAGAGTTTACTCAGGACAATGAGCCCTTAAAAAAGCTGAGGCTGAAGATCTGTTGTATTGCATTTCTCTTGGTGGTTATGTCCTTGAGCCAGAGAAGCTTTCTCCTGGGATATGGAGATATTTTCTACTTAAGTGGAAAGAACCAGCTAAGGTTTGCAAGGAGAGAGAAAAGGTTTTCATGGAGTTGATGCAGTTAGAAAAAACACTGCTGTATGGAAAAGTGTACATTACAGTTACATTAATAATTGAAATGGGACTAGGATGTGTATCACTTACCCAGAGTTTGTACTCTCGCTCCGCCCATTAGCCTGGAAACTGAAACACTTAAAATTAGTAAGAAGAGTTCAATGAAACATTTTTCTCTGAGTCAGCTAATTAACCAGGAAGAACGCTGTGACAGAAGCCTTTTTAGGAGAGCTCTGCGCTAATTTCTACAGAAAGCTTTGCTTAAAACAAGGTGAAAAAAGCCCAACGTCCCGTGCCTGTTTCTCTCAGGATGGGCCGTGCCACGGGGACCGCTCAGCCGGGGCTGTGGGAGGGTTTGGAGCTGAGCTTCCAGGGCTGCCGAACCCCTCACAGCCACCCCGGCTCCTCCCGCCCACGCCGTGAGCCATTCATTACCTCCTGAAAACAGCTTCCGGCTGCTGCCAGCTTGGACATCAGCCCACCGACCTGAAATAAAAAGTTTTTCC